ACTGATACACACTGCCAGTTTATACATCTTGATTAATCTCCCACCAGAAAGCCTATCCTTGTCCTTTGGCAGTCAAATCAGATCTGGTTGGTCTGTATCTGAATGGTTACAGTGCATGCTATGTAACACATGATCACAACCACCTCCAGTTTGATTCCAGCTGGTAATCTTTGTTGCGTGTCATACCCCCTCTCTCTCCCTCATTTCCTGTCTTCCTCTTCACTGTCGCTGTCTAATGACTTTAGCTTTTAAAGGAGCTCTGGGTTTTAATAGTGGTGAAAACCAGAGAGGAAAAAATACCCAGCTTAAGTTATGACAGCTGGGTATTCAGTGATTTATTGATCAATGAGTGCATGTCCAGCTTTGTAGAATTTAGTCATATATGGTGAAATGTTGTGCCAACCTGCACAGATGTTTGACATTTTTAGTTTTATATTGCACTTTACATTTAGCTGATTAATAGTGAGTTCAAACACCAACTGAACCCTTGCTACAAGCTCAAGCTCAAGTCATTGCAAGTTCTGAATTATGAAAGCAACCGAGAGATGAAATTACCATGACCAGAGTATTTCACAAGACAGGACATGCTTTAAGTTTTGAGATCTTACCCATATTCATTGGAGAGTGGGCAGTACAACATCTACTCAGCTGCTAGGTGGATACCAAACCTGATCTCACCTGAAGTCACATGCACATAGAGGTGACCACGTGTTGTTCCATAAGTGTTAGATGCTTCACACTGGTAGAGGCCATTCAGGTTAGAGGTCATGCTCAGAAACTGTAGTGTTGCACCCTCCACTCTGACAGCAGACTGAGGCCATGAGTTGTCTGATCTGAAACGAATAAGAAGGCAGCCAAAATGAAGGCAGAGTTTGAAGATGGGTGTGATCCGAGCCAGAACATCAAGATGTTGACTGGCATTGTGGCTGGTGATCCCATCGCAAGAGGGTCTGTAGTTTAGAGAGTTTTTGCTTAAGATTAGTTTTTGGCCCTTGATTGTTATGATTAATTGTTAAAATATTATTACTGTTTTATTTGTAGTTTAGTTTGTAGTATTTGTTATGTGTTACCACTTTTGTTTCTTTTAGTCTACTCAGTTCATGTTAAATTAGCATAGCCTGAGTTAAGTTCTCCTCATTAGTAGTTTAATAGGTTTAGTTTAATAAAAGTCCTGCATTTGACGTAGCTACATCTGCAGAATCTGTCAGTTGTTAATGCTTCAAAAAACAGCTTTAAGGAACTGTTGTTAAACTCCATGCACTCCATGCTTTCTATTTAGCTATCAGTTACCCTGGATTTAAAACCACAGACTTTTTTTAGCATTCTATGTGATAAAATTGTGAAACTTCTGCCCTCTGACTGCTTTGCTTTGTTGGGCCTCTTCCCAACTCAGAATATGCCAACTACAAAAAAATGTGTCTGAATAACTCATGTTACTACAAGTTTTTTTCACTTTCCCTCTCAATCCACTTTGTGCTTCATTCTATTTTAATTTACTTATTTCATTTAATTTCATTTGTTCTTTCTGTAACCAAGATCAACATGGGGTGTTAGAGGGTGGAGAGTTATTTTTTCTCTTTGTTTTTCTGTCATAGACACATTGCCATGTCCTGCATTTGACATACAACTGTTGCTACATCTGCAGGAAACTTAACTTAACAATTAATTTGGCTAATGGCAAAACTCTTTCACCATTGTACAAGAATGACAAACCAAACAATGCTTCAAGGTAAAAGGTAAACATAATATTGTTTGATTAAGAATGTTTCCACTGAAACCGGTTCATTCAAACTACTGTACCTGCTCCAGGTAATGTCTGCATTTGGATTGGCTTCAGTCACACATTCAAATGTGTCTTTGGTTCGTTCACGAATGGTCACTTCCATGGGTGCGACTGCAAGACAAAGGGAGAGAGAAAGGGCTGAAAATGCTAATTACAATACATCAAAATATTATTGAACCTCTAAATTTGGATCCAATTCCATCTATATTGATACAACGTTATCTGGCTTTCTAAAACACCTCATTTAAGGACTTTTGGACTTGTATATATAATCATCATCATCATGTGTATAATCATCTGATTATAGGAATTGTGGTTTTGTTTTCTTAGAATGAGGCATTTTCATCTACAGACACCACAGGTCGCCTTCCATGGAGTCATGTTGAACCGCCATGTTTCTACAGTAGCCCAGAATGGACAAACCGAACACTAGGTTTCGCAGCAATCATAGTTTCTCAGCTTCACAGCCCGTTGTCATTCCCAGGTCATCAAACACAGATGCCAGCAGTGTTTAGTTAAAGCTTGTATTTCTCAAATGAACAAGTATCTACCATTTACAAGGACCTTAAACATTACAGGTGGCACAAGCTGCAGTTGAGCTATTGTCAGATAAAGGCTGAGGTTCCTGACTGTTATATATTTAACACAGGAATGTTTCAATAACTGACAACAAATAGTATCAGGGCGTGCCCTGCAAACAATGATGCTATTGTAAGTAGAAAAGTGGGTAGGAACAATTGAGCCAAGAAATTCCACCTGGGAGAAATTCTAGCCTGGGAGTATAACATAAATTAAGGCTCCATTGGTGCTTATTCAGAAAGCTGCTTTAAGCATTTGCATTGGCTGGTAGACAGAACTTACTTCAGCAGCGACCTGTTACCCATATACTCTTTACAAAATAATCGAAACTCAAAAGGCCTACTTTTTAGCTTTCACAGTTAAGAGTGAACTAATGAGCATGTGAAAAGAGTAAAATTAACTAAAATGATGAATTATGACAATCATTCTAAAATATTATGATGCAAGATTGTCCTTTGTGAGAAATCCCCAGTAATAGTTTTTTACAAAAGACTGAAGAAACACATCTGTATGTAGACTGAAGAACAGTAATTGGCTCCAGACAAATTACCAGAAAAAAAAA